TTTAACAAACATTCAACACTAGTGGGTGATAAAAGCAAGATTTTTTTTAAAATTCACATTTTAGACATTTACCCTGAAGAAAATACATTTTCATGGTCACAATTCAATTAAAATCAGTTTATTTATAAAGCACTAAGTCAAAACAGAAGTCATCTCAGGACACTGCACAGAAACATTCATATATAAAAATAATAATTTAACATTATTTATCTGAGGAGCAGACTGCTTTGAGTTTAACTCCATCGCAGAACTCTCATCTTGAGCAAGCATGAAGGCGACAGTGGAAAGAAAAAACTCCCTCGGGAGGAAGAAACATTTAGCAGAACCAGGCTCAGGACAAGCGGACATCTGCTTCGACTGGCTGGGTTTGAGAAGAACAGGAAGGAGGAATAGATACACAATGGCAGGTTGCGAATCACATGTTAAGGTAGAAATAGTATCAAATGAAAACTATTCATTTTTAACAATTTATTTAAGGAAATGAGGTCAGTTTGTCCTCCAGTAGTCTAAGCATATGGCAGCATAACAAGCCAACCTTAATTATAGGATTTATAAAAATGAAAGTCTTAATCCCAGTCTTAAAACTGGACCACGTGTCAGCCTCACGGACAGAAACTGGAAGTTGGTTCCACAAGAGAGGAGCCTGATCATTGAAAGATCTTCCTCCCATTCTGCTTTTGGAAACTCTAGGAACCGCAAGTTAGCCTGCAGTCTGAGAGTGAAGCGCTCTGAAAATACGGAACAACAAGATCTGTAATACAAGATGGAGCTAGGTTGTTGACAGCTTTGTAGGTTAGAAGTAAGATTTTGAATTAAATTCTGGATTTGACAGGGAGCCATTGGAGAGAAGCTAAAACTAGAGAGATATGATCTCTCCCACTAACTTTTTTTGGGGGGTATTATCAGATTTGATTTGATTTTTTTAGACCAAATTTTGTCACATCCTCTATCCTGATGCATGCTCAATAATCCAGGTAGAAAAATCCAAAAAAGTTCAATCTGGTCCTCTGGACATTCAAAAAAAACAAAAAAAACAAAGCAAATCAACAAAAAAAA